AATAAATTAGGCTTTAACCTAGCAACAGGTTCATATCTGAGCCGTGTGAACAACAGAAACAGCTGTTCCCTGTTCCACTGGGAGTGAACACCTGGCTTCATTCAGGGACGTTTCCCTGAGGCCTCTGCTGCAGCCACAGCTGGACATCTGGACAGTGAATGAATGAAACTTCTTTATATTTGATCATAGTGATAGATGTATGCAGACACATCCCTCAGCTCATTAAAGCAGCGCTTGTCTACACCAACAAGCTGTGAAATACTAATGAACTGTAAGTTAAAAATAGGTCAGACAGGTTTATGACAAATTTCAATTCACGGATTTAAAACCAAATATAAGAGGTTTCGTTGTCTGTAGTCACATGAACCAGAGGCTAAATCTTTTTGATTAAATTTGTTTATATACTGTATATATATATATATATATATATATATGCACATTTTCTTTATGGACACTTGTTCATTTTATTGAAGCTCTACAACATGAAATACACAAATTTACATTTTTGATCTTGCAAACTCAAATTCCAATCACTAGTTTTTCATCTGCATCTCAGTCTTCCTCAGTGGACAGAGTCACTTCCATACTTAAGTCACATGATGTCAACTTCACAACTGAGGTATCACTGTGACAACTGAGCAAAAGCCATCTGTTAAGGAAGACCAAGAGATGCTTTTTTTTTTTTTTAAGTGTACGTCACTTCATGTCTGGATATGTTTTTTTTGTAGTTGTTGATTTACTACACATTTACCCCGAATTAACTTACTACATAGTATCTTTTGAAAATTTGAAGTTTTTCTACACTACAAAAAGATGGAGGCACCATTGGGTCATTTTTCTTTGGAGTAATAAGCCATTTTACTTCCAACATAAAGACTCTATTAAAGAATGTAAAACAAATGAAAAACATTAATAGTTTTATAGCTTGAGGTCATAGCAAGGATAAATGCGCTGCATACACATTAAAACTATCGCAATTACTGGTCGATGAATGATAGCAGCAGTTCACTGTCATACTTTCCAAATTACTTTTAAACACCTTTGAATTAGTCGCTCGGTTAAATTTTGACTCACTCCTGGATTTTTAAGTTTAAATGATATTTTATATGTAATGTGTCTTAGAGCTATATCTAGTGCAAGTCAAAAGTTTCTCTGAGCTACCAGAAGATCAAAAGGTATTTCTCGGCTTTCATCACTGCATAAAACTTTGTGTATCATTTTATTACAGAGCTGTGGTCCAAGTACAGTGGTGAAAGTGTATTCAGAGCTCTCAAACCCCATCATTACAGCACATCCTTTCATGTGTTCAACTGTTTAACAGCATTATTTGAAATTTGTCATTTTCGCTACATAAACATCACTAAGCAGTCTGACTTTTACAAACTGAACTGGCATGCTCGGCTTATTATTGTATTCGTAATGAAGGTGCCACAGAGGCTACCTTTGGCCTATTAATGAGCCAGTGAACGTTATTAAAAGTAATTTTATCATCTGTAATGAAAAATGAATGACTCGTGTTTGATATTGTTGGCAAAACTAACAAGGAGAAGTTTGCTTTGATCAGTGAAATATCTGAACCCTGTAGGAGAATTTAATCAGCAACAATGTTTTGGCTTCAGAATATCTGCATAGAGAAAAAAATAAAGTTGATTAGGTTAAAGGGGGAGGGAGTAAAAAAAAAAAAAAAAGGAGCAATAAAGCGAGCCCATACCCAAAGAGATCATTAAGTTAATGGATTGCTGTTGGCTAAAAGCATTACAGCGTCGGGTAAAAGATCTTTGGACAGTCGAGGCTGAGGAGCGCCACGCTGAGCGACGATGCTGGGAGCCGAGAGCCGGCTCAGAAGTGACGAAGGGCATTAGCAGCCCTGCATCCTCCAGTCTGCAGCTGGTATTAGCAGGCACCGAGCGCTCTGTCAACATGCATTACTCCACACACAAATCATCTGACTGGTGTCAACGCTTTGCCTGTGCTACAGCAGAAAAAAAAACAGAGGGGAAAGAAAGATAGAAACTTTGAGAGGAATAAGAACCATTGGGGAAAATCTTGAGTGTAGTTATAAGAAGAGATACTGAAAGGGTTTATAGTTACCTAAAAGCTTTAGAAATAGACTGGACAGGACACCTGCTACTTAAAATACACAAAATCAGGTTGAAATAAGAGAAATTAGATGTTAGAAGAAACTATTATCTGATACATTTTCCAGCGCAGCTGTTAACTGACTATACTCTAATCCTTTAACACCCGACTATGACACACAACACCTGAAATAGGGGGATATCCACAGAGCTTGTCAACTGTGAAGCCTGACCATTGTGAGCTTTATGCAAAAGAACAAACAGTATCATGTAAAAGACGAGAGGATCACCGTCAAACACTGAGGATCCAACACACACATACATCAAAGGCTATTTATTGTGTTTGTTTAAGCTGTATTGTACAGATCTTCACCCCTTACTTTGCTATCTGGTGACGGGCACAGGGATTTGTCTGCTGCATGTGTACGTGCAGAACTGGCTCTGAGGCTAAGGAGCATCATTATGGACTAAACACAACTAAAACAAAACACAGGCTTTCTGGTGCCCCACAGTCTACCCAACTGAGGCTCTGGAAGAACAGAGGAGGGGGGGGGGTTGTCTCAGTCAGTATGAGAGAGAAGCAGCTACGTAAAACTGATTACAGAAAGTAATTCATTGAAAACTATATGGTGGCTCCATCTTTACAGACTCGTGTTATTTGGCCAACTCACAGAACTTCACTTTAGATTTAGGGGGAAGATCCCAAAGTTTCCAAAAATATCAAAATTCTAATAAAATAAAGCACAAGAGATCTACAATATTTCTTTTTGACGTGATGGTGCAGCCATTAAAAATACACGTCATATAGGTTTAATCAAGAGTTGGAACAAACTGATACGTACTATAAAGTATATGTGACGCTGGTATAAACTATAGAAAGGGTTTTTTTTTCGAGGGGTTCAAGAGTTTAAGGGATTAATTAGCTTCATCCGATTCACGATCAGTAGAAAAGGTGAAAATGTGTTGGTAGAAAAGTGAGAAGAAGGGGCCTGATGCCAAAAGATGTGAGGCAGTCACTGATGTTTGATGCCAAAGGATGTACACATCACACACTGTGGTTGATGCACATTCAGATAAAGTAAAAGAGGCAGAACCACACTGTTTGAGTCCAGAATTACAGATTCTGCATTCAGAATTGTACTTAAGTAAAAGTAGGGGAGTATTAATTGCAAAATGTTCTCGTGTATACAAATGAATATGCAGAATATTCATTTAGAATGACATAGTATTACAATATTATTAATGATGCATTAAGCAGCATATTAATGTTATCTCTGGAAGAGGAGGAGCTAATTTCAACTATTGTATATACACGGTTGATTAGTTCAATCAGGGGTGGAAGTGTGGTGAGCATTTACATTTTCTACTCAGCTGCATTTATTTGACAGCTACAGTTGCTGGTTCGTAAGAGATTAAGATTTTACATATAAAAACATGTGTTCATACAACATGTTGCACTTCCTTACCCAACAGTATGCATGTTTGCTCACGTTTACACATATGGTCATTCAATAACATTATTTCACTGACAGGGGTCTTAATGAGTACGTTTACTTGCCGACAGGCTAATACGTCTGTACTACTTAAGAATTTGAACGCAGGACCGTTTCTATTATATTGATTATTGGTATTGCTATTTTACTTACTGTAAATCAAGTTGTTCCACCACTGATTTTAAAGCTATAAAACTGTCTGTGATGTTTTAATATTGTCTAAAATATTAATCTACAGCTGATAAATAATTGATTTTGTTTCCATCTTTGCTGCTAAGTGCTCAGTCTTGTTGTGTTTCTAGATTTCACATCAAAGGATTAACTATGGTTTCCACTTCTAAGTGTAACTCTGCTGTATATCTTTAACTTTTTTTCCCACAGCAAAGACTTATCAGACACCAGAGATTTAAGCTTTAGTGAACAGCCTGTAGGTTGTTTTTTAACACTAACATATGAAAGAACAAATCTATTTTAAAGGTGTCATAGATTCAGTGGGTGAGACATGTGGAGCATCAGCCTCTGCTTCCTCCACTGTCGAGTAATCTAGCTGTTCAGCTCAGCTCCTGCTGGGCTGCAAATGGAGGGGAGGGTTTGTGAAAGAGTGAGAACGGTTTGCAGCTGCTGATTCCTTCAATTACTGAATCTGGCTGCTTCCTTTATCAGCTTGTAATGGGTCTGATGTATGACTGACAGCTTTACAGTGATAAGACAGGGCTGGTTAAGTGGGGGCCAGGGGAGAGCTATTGACCACATTGTTAAATAAAACCAGTATCCAGTTATCTCCTTCCAAAAGAGTTCTAGTTCATTCTCAAATCCGCTTTTGTTTCTATAATTACAGTGTTACAACATCATTGTAATATGGAGTAAACTGCAGTAGTCTATACACGTGATTGTAAAGATATACCATGACTGTAAAACTTACATGTTGTTTAAAATGGTATTTGTTTGAGAACCTTAGGCTGTGCGCACTGGGGCAGGTGACTTCATCCAGTCGCTCAGACTGAGTATAGGTGATCAAAAAAAGGAAAAGAAAAGCATTTAAATTGATTTCAGTGTTGTTTTATTGCAGAATATAAAGAATAAATAGTAAATTTCCTTAATTTACAGGATGAAACAAGTCACTGATAGATGGCTGTATCAATAATCCACGTTTAACTCTGAGGTCCATCTGCTTCATCCAAATATGGAAAACAGCAAGTCCTTACGTGGCTCTATGCGCCATATCTCCATAAATACAAAATATATAACCAATATTCTCCACAAATAAAGTAGACTCTGGTTACAAATAATACTGACTTTGTACAGGGAGTTATATATAACTGCATGGCACCGCATATACAGAAAATACATTCCTACACTCGGTAGTGCATGTGAGAAAAGAATCACAAACATGTTGAGCTTATAATTTATTTTTGCTGCAGAGACTCTTTTAACTGGAGCAGGAGCATTTGCAGTCTGTGATGACCGGGTACTGCACCGGTATCCACGCGCATTTGAGTCCCCCTTTCCTCTGCACGCACCTCCATCTCAGTATCGTCAGGTGGGTCGAGTTCGCAGGTTTACACACCATCCCCTCTGGGACCGAACACGACCTTTTGCTGAGGCAGCTGCCCACGCGCACGAACCGCGGCCAGAACCTGTTCCCCAGGTCGGTCCAGGTGTACACGACCGGACAGAACGAGTACGCCCACAGCCACTGCTGCAGCCGCCGCTTCAGTTTCTTACTGGGCTTGTGCTTCTTGCCGAACTGGACGTCAAAATCCATCGCTCTAATCTCCTTCGGCAGTACTCCGCCGGGCTTTTGGATCTCAAAGTCATCGAGCTCATCGTTCCCGGTGTATTTGTCCTCCATGGGCGGTAAAACGGACAAAAAGCGGCTGTCAAAGTCTCCCAGGAGGCTCTTCAGCTCGGTCTCGTTAAGGTCCCTCTCCTTGGGGTCGAAGACGGGATCTGGGTCCTCTATTAATTCCACAAGCGGCAGACTGTCGCTCGGGATAGGGCGGAGAAGGTAGTAGTGCTGACAAACCCCCCTGCCCATGAGAAGTCCGAGAGACAGCACCAGCAGATACATGGCTAAACACTGCTGAGATTGATCCGTATCAGACGGTCCCGCGGTGAGTTCAGTGCGCACGGGGAGCTACTACTTTCTTGTGCGCAATTACGCGTGAGCCGTATCCAAACCCGCGTCTTGAGTGTTCTTTAAACTTCACAAACTCCCATGATGAAATTCCGTGACAGAATTAAAAACAGCACCGTCAGGGAAACCTGTTTTTAATAATGAACTGCGTGACAAAGCTCAGATGTCTCCTCGGGCTCCGTGCGCGCGGGCTCGGCATGATGCCCCTGTTGTCTCCTCTGCAGAAAAGCGCTGAGCGTAACCCGCGACCTCCGTTATATCCTCCGCACGGACCGTGATGTAATTCGTGTGCCCCTCTTTGAATGTGGGTTTGTTGTCTAGGAGGAGATCCCCAATACCTCCTTCTTCCATCTCACTGGAAAGGGGGGTGGGGGGTGGGTGGCCGAGGGGAAGGAGGAGGGATGCGGGGAGAGGAGACGCCCCCTGTCGGTTTTCCAGACCTCCTTAAATCAGTCTCACAGTAGGAATGACTAGTGAAGTCGTTCATTCTTCAGGGGTGTTGGTCATCTGATGAATCCTTCTGCTGGGAGTCTCTGCAGCCTCCACAACACCCAAAACCTCTTGTAAAATAGTCACTTGGAAATGTACATTTACAAATAATTCGGAGGTACTTTGACTCCATTTAAGTATATATATGGGTATATATACATTATATCCATTTTATGATATTCTACCTCTATTGCACTATTTATCACACACCTACAACTACATTGCATTTCAATTTTTACATAGAAAATATATTAACTCATAATTAATGTGATTGTTTGTAGTTGAAAGTCATTAAATCAGCTGTGGAGGTACAACATTCAAATGCTGCTTGATGCAGCAGTAATGATAATCAAGTTAAATATAATAACACACACTAACACTGACAGTGTCCATGAGTACTTTTACTTTCAATACTTTAAGTACATTTTGAGAGGACCTTTACTTTTTGAATGCAGAACTCTCGTTTTTATTACTACATTTTATTTTAGTAAAGTAAATGATCTGAATATTTTTTTCACCACTGGTAAAGTCATACTTCAGTTTGGGAAACACCTCATTTAGTTCAGAGACACTCTTTCTGCTCAGACGCATCTGAAATTTCTGGTCATTTAAAGTCTGATGCACACTTGATGTGATATTTAGGTTTAGATCCATCTTGCAAATAAAGAAAACAAAATCTGTGCATGATCACAAAAAGCACCATCTAAATTTGGACATACATGCATTCTGTGGCCGATGTTCCTCTGAAGAAAACATCACTGCAAAATGAAAAATATTTTCAGTTACAACTGGATGATATTAGTCAACTTTGAGGTTTGAGTCATCAACGCGGTTAACATAGTTCTCAGTCAGGGTTGTGTCTGTTTAGGAAATATCTCAACTAAGGCTGAATTCTTTTGGAAACCTGTATAAAATGATGCACAGTTGGACAACTAAAATATTTCCATTTGATGGAATGTGTCAGAGTCTTGGGTTTGAATATTTCACGCAGTGTAAATATCATAAAGCTTCAATAAAGGGCAGGAACAGAATATATGTGATACTGTCCAACAGTGTGGAATGAGATGAAACTAAAGAAGAAAACTGAACCTTGAGGGTGAAATAAAGTTCATCTGTTTCCAATTTGTTCACAGATTTCTTGATTTAAATGTGATTTTTTTTTTCCTGATAGTATGAGACATCCCCGTTTTTGCCTTTGTCAAAGATGGATCAAAACATCCTGCACAGGAAACGAGCAAAATCAGCAGAAGCTTCCACTTGTTTGAAGGAAAGTACAATCTGAATATGAAATATGAAATGTGAAATGGCCTGTTAAGTGCACTTTTTGCAGTGTATTTACTGCTTGTGTCCAGCTCAAGTGGGACAATATTTCTGCCTGTAACGGTGCCACGGCGAGCCTCTCAATAAAGCCGGCCAAATTAGCTCCCAAATAAACAACGCTCACTAAGCAGCAGCCATGGAAAGTATCACAATTTGCAAACCTGTCTAAACTCATGCTCAGAGAATCATTCTTTGAAAAATAATTTAGTGGAAGAACTTAGCCAGCTGCTACATCAGCCATAAACCATCCGCTTTAGATAAATGCATCTCTGTTTCATTTTGAATGAGCTAATTCACACAAGCACTTGAGCACACGACTCATTTAGTTTACGGTCGAATGATGGTGAAAAGTCTGGAAAATGTCACCCTTATATTTTTCATCTGACCAGCACGTATCATAAACTATCGCTCCCTGACAGATAGGCTCAATCCAGCGCATTCACACGTGAGACGCTGCAGAGTTAACGACAAATGCATACAGACACATACACACCTAATGTATGTGTCCATTAAAATCCTCTAAAAACGCACTGTTTTTAAGGTATAATGCAGATAAAGATTAAAACCAATCCATTATTTTTGTTAGTGACAACTTAAATGAAGTAGCTGAATTCACTTTCAGTACTTAATCACACACTTGAGGAAGTTTCAAAATGAAATTGGCATGTTTTTTCCTCTTAAGAAATCATATTTCACACACTGGAATATTTCATTTCTAATGTGGCTGCATGGGTGAAGTCCAAATATGGTTCTCATTAAGTGTCATCAGGATTGCCAGGCTCATTTAATGCTGAGTTGTTTTTGTTTCTTCTAATCCCTTCCTACTGTTTTACCACAGGAACATTTTGATAGTGAAATATTCCTCCTTAAAAAGACAGGCTACTTGAGACAGACGCCTGCTTAATTGAGGAGTTTCTTTTCATTCTTAAGTTAACCAAACACAATTCCCTTTGGCTAATAATCTGGCCAAGGTAATGACCTTTTTTTTTTTTTCTTCTTTTTTTTTTTTGCCGGGTCTGGTTCTTGAAGACTTTAAAACCTGCGCTTAAGGATATGCGTTCAAAATGAATCTCCCTGTTTGAGCTGTGCACGGGACATTGTGGCCTTCCCTGCTGATTTCTCATTTAGTGAGGAAAAGCAGACTTCTCTCTTGGCAGACACCTTCAGTACTGGTACCAAGAAAAGGCACGCTCAGGTAGAAACACACACAGCAGAAAGGATTCTGATAGCTTTCATCCACACAAAAGACCTGAGATATTTAGAAAGTCTCTTTTGGTCATTATTTTTTTTAAACTAAATCATCTGAGCAGACTTTTGAGGCTTGATGTCCCCTCTGCAGTGGTTCTGTGCAGGAGGTTATCAATGACATAAAGCAGCTACAGTGTCACTCAGAAAACACAAAGCACCTTTCACCATGCTTTATCTCCATCAGTACGCTGTTTCTCACCTCGTGCTAATTGAGGCCACGCTGCCAAGCTGAATACACACAGACATGAAGTGGGTGCTATTCTGTTTACTCTGGCACTTGGGAGGTGTGCAATTTGCTAGTTTGTTTAGCACTTTTTTCCATTCCTCTGCAATCCAAGAGCACACAATCACAATAATCACTCCTGCTGTGAGCTTAATTAAAATTAATTGCTACTTCTGACCACTGACCATGAGTCGGATGGCAGCTTTGCATTCTCGCAAGTCACACTATTCCTGTCCTGTTTGAGAATATAAAGACCTATTGTCAATACTGTTGATAGCCATTTTCACTCAGTCTTGCATCAACTTGAAATATGAAAATCAACTGGTTTCAGTTTAGCAACTGAAAATCTGAAGATTTCCATGTCTGTTTAGCATTTCAGTTCACAAAAATCCAGGTTCATTCAAATGAAACCTGTATGTTAAATCCATAGAGAGTCATCTTCAGGCTGTAGACAACACTCATAAATATCTGTGGCTTTTAACAAGGGCTATTAATAGTACATTTAGCTAATTTTTCCCACAGGCTGCAGAGTTGACTCTCAAAGCACCCAAATCCCAGTGTTGGTGTATGTTCCTTCCACTCCTCCATAAACTTTAACAGACAGAAACTCTGCATCCAAACAAAGTCATTAAACCCTAACCCAGAACAAAGTGCTCAGTGAGACTGAATTTTGTGTTTCTACACACAAGTGACAAATGAGTTTATCAGCATCTCATATATCGCCAAGAGAAGCTGGAGGAGAAATATTTTTGACCTCTTCTTAATTTCAAAATTAAAGTCCCAGAGCGATCACATGGTTCATAAGATTCAAAAACTCAACTTTTACACAATGTAAAGTACAAGTACTGAAATTGGTCAACTGGTGGCACTGTAACAAGTATTTTTATGTTTTGGCTCATCACTCCTGAACTATGAACTATTCTTTTAACTTTTTCCCCCTCAGAGTCTTTGGCTCGTTGTACGAACCAATTTTCCTTTCTGCTATAATAATTTTTCCAGTATTTTGAATTTTATTGAAAAAACACTTTTTGTCAAAGTCGATCTGAATTAAATTTTACACACAGTATATAAACTTCCTTGATCACAACTGATGCCAGAAGTTTTGATCATGCACAATATTTAACTGTGACGAAAAAGCAGAATGGACAAACAGGAAGTGAAGGCCTATGGCCGACATTAGCTCAACTTTTACCAGAAAGCAACGTGCTGTCATCTGGCAAGGTGCTGCGCTAGCCAATCAAATACATGCAAGTGGTCATCTGTGGTACATAGGTGTGTAATGTGAATACTGAATTTCTGTTTACCTTGTGATTGCTATCTTCCAGAGTTGTAAAACCTTATCCCTGAGTATTACAAACTGTGCATTGGTTTTCTGTCTGATAAACTTTCATCATTTCTGAAGTTTCTGAAGCAACACACCCCCATCTATTCAACCAATTCAATTTTTTAACACAGGGCTGTTATTGGTCTGATGTTCAGTAATGTATGTATGGACGCTGATAGCGAATGCCTTTGTCAGTGTCAAGACCATAATTGGCTTGTTTTCCCATCAATATCTTAACTTATTATTATTGGTCTTAAATTAATATTAAATTTAATTTGCCCTATAGATTCACATCAGCATCCCCTGCATATAACCAATGGTTGCATCACTGACGCACACACATACACTCTGACTGACTGACTGACAGTCATTAAAGCACTGTTTGTATGTAGGAGCCCGGCTGTGATTAAATAGAGTGGAGGACGAATAAACATTAATATTGCTTGAATCTAGCATTAGCTGTGACGCACAAGTGAAGTCTAAGGTGAAGCTGCACAAACAGGAAATGAGGAATTTTCTTTAAGAGTAAATCTCCATCATCACAGTGAGTGACAATTCTCATGGCAATACCTGTGGCCACATTTCATCTGCAGCCGCAGCTGTGACCATGTTTGAGCCATTTTTCCAAAATGATTGGAGTTTCTTGTCACTGTGAAATTATTTCCCCAGAGACGTAAACCCCATTAATGGCCACGTGCAGGTATTTACAATATTGACTACAGTCAGCTTTAACTCAATA